GAGTCTCCTGCCTCAGCCTCCCAAGTAGCTGGGACTACAGGCGCCCGGCACAGTGCCCGGCCATTTTTTGGTTGCAGCCATCATTGTTGTTTGGCGGGCCCAGGCTGGGGATTCGAACCTGCCACCTTAGGTGTATGTGGCTGGTGCTTTAGCCGCTTAAGCCACAGGCGCCAAGCCGAGTTCTAATTTTCTAATTTGTTAAAAACCACTAACTTTGTTCAATTAATTTCCATACTACAATGATTATTTTCATAAGAGAATTATCTGAATATTTAAAATATGGCTCAAATAGCTCTATATCTTATAGTCACTCTTAATAAAAATCAAAAACCAAAGGAAATAAAAACTATCAATAATGCATACACATTTTTTTTTTGAGACAGTTTATGTCGTCCTCAGTAGAGTGCTGTAACATCACAGCTCATAGCAACCTCAAACTCTTGAGCTTAAGCAATTCCCTTGTCTCAGCCTCCCAAGTAGCTGGGACCGCAGGCACCCCGCCAGAACACCTGGCTATTTTTTTGTTGCAGTTATCATTGTTGTTTTAGCAGGCCTGGGCCTGGATTGAACCTGCCAGCCTGGATGTATGTGGCCGACTCCCTACCCACTGAGCTATGGGCACCACCAATACATACACATTTTAAGTGGTAGTTTTTTTTAACTCGGTGGGCAGCAATTCCTTAGAAGAAAAAAGCCTTAGAAGAAGTTTGTTATAGAAAACAACAAAAGAACCTCCAGTAAGTTTGGAAGCTGTTCCTTATTAATAATCAAAGGCTTAGGTCATAGAAATCTAACAGTAGGTGTTAACACAAATCAAAGCCATTATTCATGTAAAAACTTACCATAATTATGTATGAATTGGTATTTTTATGAGATTCATATTCAACTATCACAACTCAATTTTTGCTGTAAAATTCTTGACAAGTTACTTGTCAAATACTATTTGAAGAAGGGATAAAAGTTGTTTGTGGTTTTTCCCTTTTTGTCATTAATTGTGTCATGGATATAGGCCCCAGATTCTGAGACAGTCCTAACTCATTATAAACTAAACCTGGAAAGTTTAGTTTACCTAATACTACCAGGTTTAGTTTATAATAAGTAGGATTGTCTCAGAATCTGGGGCCTATATCCATGAATTAGAATTAAATGAATTCTAACTTTTCATTGAGGATCTGCTTGTATCAATCTTCACTTACATAAAATGAAGGAATTGGAATAGAAGATGTCAAGGGTTACTTCCCATACTCCTTTCTAGATTTCTATAAAGGAAACATTCTATTTTGTCCTAGAATTCAGGTAAATGGAAATGACTGATTTTTTTAACAATGAACTCTCAAAACTTGTTTAAAAGGTTACAGCTATATAAATTATTTTTGTAAACCTATGCATATGACGATCTCCAAATCATTTAGTGGAGGTATAAATCTAGGAAAGAGATGGACTCTAACCCAAAAAGGACGGCACCCATAGTCCTCACTACTCGGAGGCTGAGGCAAGAGGATTGGCTGAGCCTCAAGTACTGTGAGCTATGATGATGCCACTGCAATCTACCCAGGGCAACAGAGTGAGACTCTGTCTCAACAATACAAAACAAAATGGATGATAATATCAGGACCTGAACGGAAAGGGCAACCATAATTGAATCAAGTGTATTTTACTTACAGAAAGATATGTTAACAAAAAAGCGTTAAAGTCTAATAAAAAGAAAACCAAACAAGAATTTCACTATGTCTCCAGATGTGAATGTCCCACCCAGTTAAACAGCTAAAATTATAATCCACACCGAAGTTATAGCTCTTTATGAGAAATAACTTAAGAAAAAAACTTAGTAATATGTGGAAGTGAGGGGAAGCTCATCATAACTAGATTGTATCAGCCTTTAGGATCACAGCACTCCCTTTGTTTGGATTCCAATTTCACCAAAGCAATTATCTGATGATAATTTAGTC